AAGATGGTTTCTTGAAAATCATCCCAACCACAGGGGCCCATTTCTTCAATTGCTCCTACTTTGGCGGCGTGGAATATGCGACCAACTACCGCTTCGAAACTGGCAACCGACTCGATGCCTACGAGGACAAGGTGAGTGCATCACTGAACAGGATCCTACGGCACAATGTGGGGAAGGTATCAGAGCAGCAGAGTCTGCCCTGCGATGACGCCGGCTGGGTGCCCATCGAGGAAGTGCTCAAATGTGAGTCCATCTGGAGGCACGACTATGCACGCTGGCCACATGTTTTCCTTGCCCCAAAGGGAAGAGCAAATGATCAGAGGGCATGGAATGTCGATGAAGCGAACTATCGCATGACATTGCTCTTCAAGATCATGTTCCACTGTGCCAGGTATGGACGTCGTATGCGTGAACAAGTTTTGGCATTTGGGATCAACAAGGATATTGATCGCCGCAGCCTGACGTGCATTGACAACAATGTCGATGCGGATACGCCCATTCCTGATGAAGGTCTACTGCTATATCCAGTGGCAGTTCGTGCTCCTACGGGGCACAAAGAAGGATCTTCGAGAGACGACGTTTCATTGATGTCCTCGCTGCTTTCACATCCAATCGCACCCAACACTGTTTTGTCATTACCGGTTTGTTTCCACATCACCAAGAAGACCAACCTTCGAAGCATTTGGAGGCAGGGATTAATTCCAGGAGGTCTTGGAGAAGGTCATCGGATGTTCACGTTCTTCAACCCGTACGTCCCATGGGATCACAGATCATGGACCATCACGAAGAGCGTTGATACGCGTAAGGGTGACTACATATGCTTGTTCATCCCGACCGAGACCTTGATGGTGGAATACGGCGGTCGACTAACTGACTCGGGACAGATCGTCTCACCAAGGATCATCCCATTCTCGGCAATCAAAGGTGGATGGATTCAGGACCCCAAGGATCAGTACAACAAGACATGGCTCCGGTTGTTCGTCCCTTCGGGCGACGACCAGGTAGTCCGGTCTGGAACTATCAAATCAAGAACGGTAGCCACCAAGGAGTCCATCCTGAGGGTTGCAAGTCAGTGCATCGACGCCGAAGACCAACCGTTTGACGAGGTTGCCATGGATGCTATGAACATCGTCGACCAATTCAAGAACAACCTCATCAAGCCTGGCGGACAAGAACAATACCTGGCCCGCATCAAGCTGATTGACTACATAGTCGAACGCAAAAGGGTGCAAACTTCAGGTTGCCGCCACTGTCCTCACTGTATCAATGAGACGCCGACAAAACTAGCAGTGTGCATAGTTTGCTGGACAGAACTCGAGAGTTGCGGGATTCGTCCATATCGGCTACAAGCTCCTGAAGACGATGAAGATGAGGCCACAAAGAAAGAGCTCGATGAGGAAGTTCGTCGACAAGAAGAGTCATTGTTCAAGGATACGGTCCATCAAGCACAAGAAAACGTATCCGAATCCAATGATTATGGTTTCAATCCTGACGAGGTCGACTACAATGAAGGCGACGATGAGGAAATGGACCAGGAGGAGGAAGCTCAACGGGAAGAAGACGAAATCATTGAAGAAGACGATGATGAAATGGACGTCGAACCTGATGATGAGCCCTCTACCAAACTTCCAGCATGGACCAAGAATCTTGAGAGCGGCAGCAAGGGTATGCCAGAAGACGGTCTTATCAACAATGATGTCTCCGAGGCCGCGGCTCACTTATATGACAATGCTGTCATGTCAAAGGTCATCACAATGTTCAGGCACTACTACAACCAGAGAGTCACTATGACCCCTGAGGCGTACCATGTGCTGATGACGGAAACCAGGCGAGTCCGACTGGACTTGGACGACTTCTGCCCCTACACAGGTGAAGACCCGGACGGCAACCTCAAGCGGCCGACAGAGCTGGAATTGGATGAACTCTTTCAGGAGAAAGGGAAAAGGAACTCCTGGTCAGAGGGGGAGAAGATGTACTCAGGACGACCAAGAAACATGATGATGCCTGTCATCAAGAATTTGGAGATCTATGAAAAGATGATGGAATTTCTGGTCTGCGCCGGGTACACTCCCGAATCATTGGGTTTCCTCATGCCAATGAACCGAATGCAGGCTGATGCCCAAGGGAAACAGGAGATGCGAGTAACCATCAGCAATTTCCTTCGACGACTGCTCAAAGGAACATTTCCGGAGCACGAGTCGTATACTTTCTTTCGCTCTGGGAGCCACGGCTTCCCCAACTGCATCGAACTCCCAGCATTCTCAGTATATCTGAGCCTGAGGGAGAAAGAACAGAAAGTAGAACTGCTCTTTGCCGCCCAACAGTGTGGCATTCCTTTGCCTCAAAACTTTGTCAGCAAGATGGCTTATGCTATTCAGCTGGCCGAGGCCGAGGCGCAAAGGGGAAAGACCGAGATGAAAACGAAGATGGCTCCAACCCTTGGCGACGAAGTGGTGGGTGAAGTATTCAAAGCAGTTGGGCATACTGCAGCTTCCAAGTTTGCTAAACCACCTGCGCAACCTTCACAGACACCTGAAGGCACTGGTTCAGCATCATCATCATCGGCTAGTGCACCAAAGGGCAAGGCTATGCCGAAATCCCATGAACCATCAAAGGCACCGCCTGCAAAGCCTTCATCACCGAAAGCTGCTCCAAAACGTGCGGCAGGATGGGAGAGAACTCCAACAGCACCTCAATGGAAGAAAGTCCGCCGTGAGCAGTGAACTTATTACCTCTGTCCGTCAGAATGGTCACTGAACTACAAGATGTGTATCGTCTTGGTAAACAGATGATCAGGAAAAGACCAACTGAGTGGACTCTGAGCGAGGCAGTAGACTAATTCGCTTAGGTTCAAGACTTTTGATATTCCCAATCTGCATGAAATTCTGCAATGTGCACGTGAATTCGTTAGTTAGCATTGTAAATCTTTGATAGCGAAGTGACCCATTTCTCCCTACGGGTGAATGGCGAGCTGAGCCAGCGTAGATAAGTAGATGTTAGCTAGCAATAATTCGCGTTGTACAGCTTGATGAAGCGCCGATGCATCGACAGCCAGAGAGTAGGCGAACCCTGAACCATTATTCCCTTCGGGAATGTGGGGAAGGGGGAACCGAATGGCACGTTTTATGTACATAGGCGTAATTCAAGTAGCAGAAACAATATAATTCAAAGTTCCCTCTCTCGTGTCCGTGGTTCGAAGAATACCACGGGCATGGGGGGTGTCAAAGGGAACGTAGTGAGAACACACAAACAATCCATGTGTGGGACGCCACTATGGCTCAAGACCCCCACGCGTGAGCAAAATAAGTGTTCGCCGTCCGCCATGATTAACGGGTCCGGGAACTACCAGTGAAGCGGGTACCAATTGAATTACAACATCCAGAACAAGGATCGATTTGTTCACAATACACATACACATACACATATACATATATATATATACATACATATACATTTACATTTACATACATACATACATACAGACAGAAAGACAGACAGACAGGCAGACAGACATACATACAGACATACAGACGTACTGACATACAGACACACAGACACACAGACATACAGACATACAGACATACAGGCATACAGGCATACAGACATACAGACATACAGACATACAGACATACAGACATGCAGACATACAGACATACAGACATACAGACATACAGACATACAGGCATACAGGCATACAGGCATACAGGCATACAGACATACAGGCATACAGGCATATAGGCATACAGGCATACAGGCATACAAGCATGCAGGCATGCAGGCATACAGGCATACAGGCATACAGGCATGCAGGCATACAGACATACAGACATACAGACATACAGACATACAGACATACAGACAGACATACAGACATACACACATACACCCGTACATACCTACCTACCTACCTACCTACCGACTGACCGACCTACCTACCTACCTACCTAACTACCTACCTACCTACATATTGTGCATTGTCTTGAACATCTTTCGTATGCACATGCTGATTCGGGGTTCCATGCGGGGGGCGTTTTTTTTTAAAAAAATAATCTTGCGTTTCTTTTGCTTACAAGACCTGGCGAGAGACAATTACAGCGTTGGGGGGTTTTCGCTTGCTGGACCCAATAGATATTGCAACCCTACAACAGCCCTGCTCATCATAATCATCATCCTCATTCTCATGCTCAGCACCCTCATCATCCTCATCATCCCCATCCTCATCCTTCATCATCCCTTTCATCCTCATCTTCTTCGTCATCATCGTCGTCATCAACTCATTCCTGTTACCATCACTTTCGTCATCATCAGTTTCCTTCATCGTTCTGGTCAGCAACCTCATCAACATCAAAAGATTGGCACTGTTTGTGACTCGCAACCGTTTGTGACTTGCAGCAGCTCCAAAAAGCTGCGCCAGACCATTGCCGCATTCCGACTTCACCTTGCTGTTCCCCCTTTACGATTACCACCCTACCCCAGCCCTGCTAGCTTTCGTACCTCCCCCTGGCCTCAAGTGGTTTTCACAATCGTTTTTTTTTCTGACCGACAAGATCCACAACAAGCCAAACAGGGCTCTTCCTGTCAGCTACGAACCTCAACAAGGGCCTTTCCAGAGTGACAAGAAAATGCGCAGAACCGCTGCAACAAATGGCAGTATAATATATATAGACATATAATATGTCACATATCTATATATAGTATGTCATATATCTATTTGTAATATGATATGCCATATCTATAAACATATATATAGATATATGTTCTTTTTTATTTTTTGAATGTTATATACATATATGATATATGTTATATATATGTATATATATATGATATATGTTATATGTTATATATATATATATGTATATGTATATGTATATGATATATGTTATATACATACATTATATATATATGTTATATGTATATATATATATCTATCTATCACGGGTTCCTGAAGCGTTTCTGAAGGTTTTGAAGGAGTGGGAACAATGACCATAGATGAATCCAAGGCTGTCAGATACTGTGGCAGTCCGGATCCTGGAAGTGCTCCAAGACGCGGCACATCCTGTGAGGTTGAAATAATTTGGGGGGATGTGCATCCAATAAAACCCTTTTTCAGATCTTTCAGACTTTGTGCCGCAAGAGTTTTCAAACAAAGTCCTCAGAGGCATAGTTGCAGTATGTCTCAAGGTAGAACATACTTTGCTAAGGATCAGTTGCTAGTACCATCTTCACCGTTGCGCACCTACAACTACCCAGTGGGCTACTTGCAGGCCCTAAAGTGAGGAAGACTTCATGTCCAGCATCATGCGTAAACTTGAAGAAAGAGTCTGTTTTCAAGTCGCAGTACATTTTGTCTGTCATGGAGATCTCTGCGTCTGATTCGGGGCCAGACTTCTGTACAAAGGTCATAGGGTGTAGCAGTCGTTTTGTTTGTAGTGCTTCAAGTCTTCAAGTGCACATAGCAATATGCCAGCTCTGCATATAATGGGCTCATGGCATGTTGGATTGGATTGTGGATTAGTCTTCCACAGGTTGGCGGCGCCTTCATCCCTTAGACCTCTCACAAGTGAGATTAAATTTGTTAAACATGATTACATGAAATGTGTCCGAATATATCCGAATGCTCTTTATAGCCAGACTTCAGACTTCAGAAGGTGAGGCGATCACGGAGTCCTCGACCAATTGGCTGGTCACAAGTGGTTTTGTAGTCTTCAGATGTTGTGGGCTAGAGCCGATTTTGTCAGGTACGCTTGCAGGAGGTGCAAATTCCAACTCAAGCCCAATGTCCACAGCTGGACTTCGGATCTCGAGAGAATTCCGGAAATGAGGGATCTTGACACCAATACAAGTCTCTGCAAGTCACTGCAAGTCACCAACACATTTCCAAACTGCCCTTCAGGGAATAGGACACACTGAGCTGTAGTCGATATATGTCGACATAGGACAGACTTCGCCAACTCTCAGATCTGAGTAGAAAGCAGCAGCACCAATTTGAACACGGGGGCCCCCCGGGGATTTCGTAGAATGATACTGATCATACTGATCAAGCACAGGACTTAGCCTACAGCGTGCCTGAGAATGTCACATGTTTGGCACCAAGTTCAGCCGCCAGTTTGGAGTTCCTGGCCACATGTAGAGACAAGAGAAATGCTGGACACAGAAAGACAGAGAACAATTTGCAAAGCACCATTTCGATACTTCTGGAGTGCCTACACCGCGAGTAAGCAATGTACTTTGGGATCTTTGCGCTGCATGGAAGTTTTCCCAGATCTTACGCAATCAGCACTGGTAAGAAGCAGGCTGTGATGTAAATGTCAATCCCCTTCTTCACACTGGATCCACGCATAAACTCTTGTTCGAAGAAAGTTTAGAAGTCAAACTTTCGACAATATGGACAGATGAAGCAACAAAGGATGCGAGAGTCAGAGAAGGGAAAGAAAGAAGAAAGAATATCGAAGAGAAAGAGTCAGCAGAAAGAAGATGCAGGTTCGCGAAAAGGTAGAAAAGTCGCGAAACACGGTGTTTTTCCAATGTTTTGTGGCTCCGTAGGGCCAAAAAGTAGGCAACACACTTCAGCTTCACAGCGCTTTTGGCAGTTGAGGTCTTGAACAGGTGCACGTGGCTGGGGCGCGCTTTTGGAAGTTGAGATATTTAAAAAGTGCATGCCGTTGTGGCGCAAAGCCCATTTCGAAGTAAACACGTTAAAGGCACCATATATTTAACCTATTCTGACCACTTTTGGACACCCGCAACACGACAACGACAAGAACAACAAGAACAACAAGAACAGCAAGAACAACAAGAACAACAAGAACAACAAGAACAACCAGAGCAACCAGAGCAACCAGAGCAACCAGAGCAACCAGAGCAACCAGAGCAACCAGAGCAACCAGAACAAGAACAACAACAACAAGACCAAGACCAAGAACAAGAACAAGAACAAGAAGAAGAAGAAGAAGAAGAAGAAAAGAAAAAGAAGAAGAACAAGAAGAAGAAAGAAGAAGAAGAAGAAGAAGAGGAAGAAGAAGAAAAACAAGAAGAAGAAGAACAAGAAGAAGAAGAAGAAGAAGAAGAAAAACAAGAAGAATAATAACAAGAAGAAGAAGACGAAGAAGAAGAAGAAGAAGTGTAAAATCACCTCACATAAAACACACTGTAGTATAGCTTGTACTTGGTAGCTATTGCGGCTCAGTCAAAAGGGAGTGAGTCGCAGGTGCTTAACGGTTTTGCCCATTGTTGTTTAGGTTTATCAGTCTACTTGGGATTATAACATAACCCCAGCTGAAACCTGAAAATACAGGTTATCAGCCGTAGTCTCTAAAGCCATGGACAAGTCGAATGATGCAATTGGTGGTGGTGCCCTTGTCCCCTCGACTGGAACTGTATCTGCATCAACTGGTTCTCAGCAAAGCTTGCCGGCTGGGGCAAACCCCACGCCCATGTCAGTGGATGAAGGTTTCTTCACACAGCCCGTGCAAGCCTATTTCCAGTTCGTGCAAAACAATCTTACCTACATCAACGAAGGTAACATTGATGCTTTCCGGCAAGAGGCAGAGGAGAGGCACACACATCTCATGGAACAAAAGGTCCAGCAACTGTACCAAGAGTTTGAGGGAATTTGCCTTAGCGAAATCGCCCATCAACGTGCAGAAGCTGACCGTAGACATGAGCACCTAGTGTCAGAGTATTCAATGTCCCAAACGGCAACTGAGCATGAGGTAGCAAAACTGAGACAGGAACTTAGCGATGCAAACGCAAAGCTAAAGAATGCTGCAAACGCAGTTGCACTGGAAGCTGAGCAAAGAGCCAACCAAAAGGTAGCCCATGTCACAGCCCAGTACGAACAAAGGTTTTCTGAACTCAGAGGTAGCCTCGAGGCAGACTGTAAACGAATCGTGGACGAAACAGTGGAGTATGCAAAGAATGGCATGGAAGGTTTCAAGAAGGAGGAACAAGCTGTAATCCAGGAGATTAGAGAGGAATGCAGTAGGCAGGAAAACCAAGCTGCTGAACTCAACTTCCAATTGCAGGGACAAGTGGAGGATTTGATGGAGAAGCTCAACAAGTACAGCGCCCCGGAAATCAGTGTCGACAGAGCCGTCGAAGTTGATGACACACAAGGCGGGAACAATGTCGATTTGTACATGACCCCAAAATCAGCGGTCGGTACCAAGGCTGGAGCAGAACCCATGCCAAACACTGGTATGAGTAGCTTAGCCATGGACGCAAAGGAAAGGTTGAGCAACTTGTTCTCAACTACCCCTGCCGGATCAGCAGCCCCTCCAAAACTGCCACCATTGCCAGTTCAAAGACAAAATGATGATGATGCAAATCAAGAACATAGTGTGCCCAGTCCTACAGTAATAGCAAGCGACCCTGGCAAGAAAGCAGCTGAAGCAGGCTTAGGTCTTTCAGGTCAACAATTGCTAGATCTCATCACTAGACTGACTTCAAAGGATTCAGATGGTGAAAAGCCCCGAACAAAGGAGGCAGAGACTATCAAACTGAACGACATGCCCGCCCCAGAAGCATATCGTCACTGGCGTAATCATGTCAGGGATGAAGTGAAGTCGTGCTCCGACAAACCCGATGAGGCTTGGCTTTGGCTCAATGAAGTCTTTGACAACAAAACCCCTAGGGAAAAGTTGGAGGAAAAGTTGCAGGAACCTGGGAAATTTATCACACTGGACACCAAATTGTCGGCAGCGTTAACTCGCTCGGCCAAAGGTGATTTAGCGACGAAGATCCATAACTTCAAAGATGAGAAGTCAAAGAAAGGGATCCAAGTCAGAGGTAGGAGAGTCCTTTTGATGTTTGAAGATTACTTCAGGACGTCTGAGGAAGCTGGCAGTCTCTACCGCGTCGAGGACCTACTTGGAGTCGTTCGCACTGGAGAATCTGTGGAGGACCTTAGAAGGTTTTTGAACCGATGGGACGCCACAATTGCCGGCATGGAAACCCCGCCAGATGATTTGGTTCTCAGAGACATCTTACTCAGACAAATCCGAAAATGTCAATTGATGAAGTATGACATTGAAGCATTTGACAGAGCTCCTGAAAAGTCAGAACAAAAGTCTTATGCATTCTTGTTGAGAAACATTCGTGATCTTTTGGATAGAGAAAGGCTCCGTTCAAACAGAAATAGAATCGTTGAAAAGAACAAGCAGACCGAAAAGCCTCAGCCCGCTGCACCCGCTCAGGGGGGCAAAGATCGCGGCAAAGGAAAGGGTGATCGAGGTCGATCCCGTGGTCGTAGCCAGAGTGGAAAAGGGGATAAGATATGTTACAAGTTCAGGGATGGCAAGTGCGAAAAGGGTAAAGACTGTCCCTACAAGCATGTCAAGGATTCCTCAAGATCTGGCACTCCCAAAAAGAAGGGTAAGGGCAAAGGTGGTAGCAGAAGTGGTTCCCCCAACAGAAGGTCAAAGGAAGAGATGGCCAAGATCCCATGCACTTACTTCCAACAGGGCAAATGTCGTCGTGGTGACAAGTGTTTTTATAAACATGAAGTTGCAGCTGCACCCACAAAGGATCCAAAACGCACCAATAGCCCTGCACCAAAGAAGAAGGCCAGTGCAAAAGCTGCGCCATGCATTACCCAAAGGTATGCATGCATAGCAAAGGGAAAAGGGTTGCCGAAAGCTACAAAGGCCATGAAAGAACAATGCCATAGAGCTGTTGTGTTTTCATCAAAAGTGGAATACATCAAAGTCCCAGCAACAGGTGAACAGAGGAAGGTAGTGCACAAGCCCCGAATCTATGAGAAGACGTTCCCTGATTCAGAGTCAGTGCCAAAACCCGACAAACTCGTGGCTCACCGTGCTCAGGTTTCGGCCCGACAGTTGCAGGAGCTTGTGAAGCTTTTCGGCAGTGAGACGCAGCCCAAGTGCCGATTCCGATGCAATGACCCAGAAGGGGGAGTATCATGCAATCACTGTAGAGCAATGATCGGTCCCAAGAACAAAGTCAGTAACACTCATTTGCCCACTGTTGCTACACCGGCATCAAAAGATGGATGTGTTTGGTTGGTTGACACGGGCAGTGAACAGGATTTGATTAGTGAGGGTATGCTGAAGACCGCAAAGGCGACAAACCGCCGTGTCAGTGATACCCCAATCAGCCTTGCTACAGCGAACGGTTCGACACGAGCGGATGAGGTGGCCGACGTAAAAGTCGATGCCCTACATCAGCCATTCTCACCATACATCCTCGAAGAAACTCCTGCTGTTCTTTCGGTTGGTGTCAGGTGTATGGAACAAGGTTACAGTTTTGTGTGGCCAGCTGATGGTAGGCCTTACTTCATTCGTCCGGACATGGGAGTCATTGAGCTTAACGTAGACGGCCGTGTGCCGGTCATTGATAGCTCTTGTCGTGTTTTGAACAGTGGACAGTTCAAGAAAGATTGTGATCTGTTACGTCTCTTTGCAATGGTTGCTGCAAAAGCAGAAGGTGCCGAGGAAGAAGGCGTGGATGAGGGAGTAGCTCATGACAGCGAAACCGAGTACATCAGGTCTAGAAAGGCATCTGACCTTGAGCAAGAGGCATGCAGCAAATCTCACCAGTTTTGCCATTACCCCAAGAATCCATTTTGCAAAATCTGTCAGAAGGCGCGCATGATGGCGCCACCCGCAAAGAAGAAAGGAGGACAGAAAAGGTTGGAAACCAAAAGCTTTGGGGATCACATTGTTGCTGACCACACTGTAATTAAATCCAATGTGGAAGAAGGCTTCAAAGGTGAAACAGTGGCATTGGTGATGAAGGACATTCACACTCAGTTCAGACACGTCTATCCAAGTCAAACAAAATCGAGTGAGTCATGTGTCAATGCTTTCAACCACTTCCTATCCCACAAGGATGAAGATGGGGCAGTTTACACCGACAATTCACGAGAACTCATTGCTACGATTTCAGAGTTGGGGTATAGACATCAAACATCAACAGAGTACGTGGATAGCTCAAAGTCGTTTGTGGAGAGGGAGATCAGGCACATGCTTGAAGGCACACGCACAAATCTCGTGCAGTCAGGTCTTCCATTGCAGTATTGGCCAATGGCTATGCAGCATTTCTCCATGGCAGTGAACGCCACG